AAAATTTTTAATATTTTCTTCTGAAAGCACTTTTTTATATTTTTAATTTTATTCTATATTTTCTGTACACAGTAATGTTACATTTGTTTCTATCTAATTTTATAGGAATGTCTTTCTTAAAAGCAGCAACATGAGTCTGAAACACCTGTATTTTCAATACAAATTCAATTTAGTTTTTATTTTAGTAATCACTCTATACAAAATTCACTTTTGCTATAACAAAACCTGACACAATGTTTTTGTTCATATCTAATAATGTAGATCACATATGCCTTTCAGATTTTGTAAACACAATCCCAAAATGTGTCATGTGTAAAAAATGGTATAATTTATACATCACCCATCTCTGATAGTAACCAAAAACATTACAATCGGCAGCAAAGATTATTTGTCTTTATAAAAATTTAAAAATGTAATTTAAATATCTTTGTTGAAGGTTTAATTTAGTTTTAATTGAAAGAAAATTATGTAAATTTAGTAGACTTTAGAAGGAACCAGAAACCTAATACTAAACAGGAAACAAGGGATAAACCCCCTACTCTTGTTCAAAAGACTGGGCAGGAGTGTGAACTGGGCAAGAGGTGAACCTATCTACTCTTATCAAACTTTTGACTCTTTACCAGCCCTCTTTGTTCACATTTGCTGCCTATGAACACAAAATTAAATAGGTTACTTGCCATTTCCCTCTGACTTTCTTGTCATCAGTATGCTGTGTGAGTTGAATTCTCTACACTTTCTTTCCTCATCATATGTTCCAGAAATTTCAACAGCCTCTTTCTGATTTTTTACAGTCCTAAGGTTCAAGATTCTTTATTCTTGTTTTCCTTAAAACTTCCTGATTGTTTATGTGTTGTGTCCATCTCTCTTTTTTTTTTTTTTTTTTTTTTTTATCCATACATTTTTCAGATGTGGAAATCATCATGAATTTAATACACTAGATCTATTTAAAATGTTAACATATATATATATATATATATATATATATATATATATATTGAGCCTATTCTAAAATTAACCTATTGTTGACATCTGCCGACAGAAAAATTTAAACTTCATGATTAAAAGTCTTCCTAAAATAAAGCAACTATTATAGAAGTATAGGATTAAATTAAAATGAGTTAATGATTATTTAACTGGATTTTGAAAAACAATTTTTATTTAAAATATAATTAAAAAATACATTTTTTTATAGTGGATTTCTTTTACCTGTCAACTCAGTTCAAAACTGAAACTGGTATTAAATCAACTCTCCTTACCCGTCGGTGATGGAAGTCTTCTTAAATTTAGGAGCATTTTGTGTGAGACAGCTGAAGTATGGATGACCAAAAACTCACAAGACCTAGTATTTCCTGCAATGAGAAAATTACATTATCAACATTAAAATACTGCTATATATGACAGGTAACACTTTATTAAATTTTGTTGAAAGTTTTTGAGAAGAGGCATTAAAAGACAAAGGACTTTTTCATGGAGTAACCATAACTTTTGATGTGGAGGGATAAATAGTCAGGAAGGAAGTTTATATTTCATTGCTTTCAATCAAACAGAATATTGTTTACATATAAAGCACCATAAAGGAATAATTAATGACCTAACCCCCCCCATTATATTGCAATGTTTTCCTATAATCATAAAATACTTTTACAAGAGCAATGATCATTTGATCACATTTAATCTTCTCATAAAATCTATTCTTAGAAAAGTATTAAAAAATTACAAGCCAGACCCATAGTGTTGAAATATGCATACATTTCACTGGTTCCAAGACTTTGCAATTCAAGTGTCCTACAAGGCTGGCATCCCGCTCTCACCCTTTCACTGTTGAAACTGTTAAATGTAGTCGCCTCTTCTACTCCAATAGCTTCATGTCTCGCACCTCTCACCTGTTGAACTCCCTTCCCTATTCCTGTTTCCCTGATAGCTATAATCTCCAACTATTCAAATGTAATGTCAATCGACATCTCCAGTTGCATTGATCTATCCACTATCCTTCTCCTTATCCTTTCCTCTATCATTCCTACCTGCTCTCGCTCCAAATCCTCTATAACCCCTTGCATACTAGTGGCTTCCCACCTTGCTAGGGGTGAAATGCTTAAAAAAAAAAAGCATAGAATCAGAAAGAGACAATTGAAATTTGTGTGACACATAATGAGGATAGAAGGCTTGAAGAATTTGACACTCACAGAACATTGAAGACAAGAGGAGTAAAGAAAAACAGCAAATGACCTAACAAACTTGTGTAAAGGGATAGCAGGACAGGGAATACTTAAAGCTACAAATGATAGGAAATTGTGGAGAGTCATGATCTTCCACATTCTGAAGAAAAATAGCAAAATGATTGAAATGACCTTCAAAAATGACAAACCAGAAAATAAAGCAGAAGTGTATGTCATAAAAGGGGCAAAAAATGGAGATTTAAAATTTAAAATAAAAAATGCAAGCATGTTGTTCATGATTTGAAAGAAAGTCTAAGATGGGAGTTTTGCCATAAAGTGGTTTAAGGATTTGGTTAGGAATTACTGCAAATTAATATAGTTGATCAAAGTTTGTATTTTGATTACTAAAAATATTTTGGCACAATGTATTTTAAAAAAAATCTTATAAGTTGTTTTTGAAATGAAATGTTTTTATGATTATAAATATTTTCATTAGTTTTTCTAAATCTTTTTTTGTTGCTTTTTTTTTATCCAAATTGTTCTTAATTCTCCTAATATTATTACAATATTCTTTTATTATTATTTCATTACTTTTCTGTTATAATTCTTTTACTCTCCCATTATTATTTCATTACTTTTCTGTTATAATTCTTTTACTCTCCCATTATTATTTCATTACTTTTCTGTTATAATTCTTTTACTCTCCATTATTATTTCATTACTTTTCTGTTATAATTCTTTTTACTCTCCCATTATTATTTCATTACTTTTCTGTTATAATTCTTTTACTCTCCCATTATTATTTCATTACTTTTCTGTTATAATTCTTTTACTCTCCCATTATTATTTCATTACTTTTCTGTTATAATTCTTTTACTCTCCCATTATTATTTCATTACTTTTCTGTTATAATTCTTTTACTCTCCCATTATTATTTCATTATGATATAGTTATTGGCATTACAAACAATATTCTGAAGAAAAGAATGATGACAGATGAGTACTTTGCTTAGTCATTACAGTTTTAGTGCTCAATTGGTTAAGGTATGGTTGATGAAAGACAAGTTTCCAGAGTATTGGACATTAGTTAAAATCTCACCAAAAGTAGGTTTTTTGGGGGGTTTTTTTTCAGCTTCTAGCAATTTAATTTTATAGCCAAAGAATTGAAAATATTTGAGAAACAATTGCTTATAGTAACTCAGTTATTTCTTGATAACAATCATCTCTTTCTGAAAAGGTAATCTGTGCAAACAGATTGTTTCAAGATGTCAAATCACTTGGAGATTTTCTTTCCTTTTATATTTAAAAAGAGCAAAAATAATCATTAACAAGTCTTACTTATTTGGAATGTTAGCATTGCGACTCAGAATTAATATGAAAGTTAGTCTGAAGCAATTACTGCAATTAATGTGCAGTTAATGTGAAAGATAATTCTTTTGATATTTTGATCCATTACCCCTTTTACTTGATGGCCAGTCTACCTATAAATATTGCAAATTATTTATCAATGGATTTTTTTCTTGGGTATGTCTACAGGAATTTAATGTGTTCTGTAATATGTCCCATAGAAGTTTAATGGGGTTTGATTCTGGAGAGTGCAACAACCACTAGAATAACTAGATATCAGCTAAATGTTCCTGGAACCAGTTCCATGTCATCTATACATGACTGACGGTTGTGTTATTTTGATGAAATAAGGGAGATACTGAGAAAGCAATTGTGAATGCTATTGATTAATCTCTACATTAATCTTCCAATTAAAAACAAGTTTTTTTTAATTTTATTTTTAGATTTATTTTTGCAATTACAAATATTTTGACTTGTTTACTGTTTTTAAGTGCAACATTTTAGTCAATCAAATGAGAATGCTACCTGGTACCTTTTGTTGCTCAATTAGTTAAGGCATTGTCCATGAAAGACAAACTGCATATGCAATTTCAACTTTCATTCAAGGCTATTTAAATATACTGGCAAAAGATAAAATTACAACATCCTGAATATTTGTTTCAATTCACTGAATATAACTGGGTTGCAATAAATAATCTTGTATACAGATCAATAGTTAGACACTTCCTAAAATAAGAGGTGTATCAGCAATACTCAAATTCCATGATAATACATTGTACATCTTTATTGGGCATTATGACTTTACAAATGGTGTAAAATATCTTGATACATTAATCTCTGCTTCTTACACCTCTTAATGATGATACAGCAAAAGTTGTAGATGGACTAATTTGAACAAGTTAGACATAATCCTAGCATGTCCCATACATAGTCAATGGGGGACAGGTCTGTTGATACTGTCAAACAAGGAAGTTGTTGAATATCTTGCAGATTATACTGAATAACACGGGTATCATGTGGAAGGACATTACTCTACTGGAAGATCGTATCACTGTCCTAGCAGCAGAATGAGTTTAAGAATGTCTTTACATATTGTTAAACTTTCCCTCTAAAAACACCAAAGGCAAACAAGAGTTGTAATTTATGGCAATCCAAACAATGATGCCAGGGGTTAGGTTTGCGCTATAGGTGAATCTAATCTGGAAGATGTTACTATTCAGGTCTTTGTTGTTGAACACTGCAGAACACTATTTGATCCTCTGAGTGACCCTCTTGCAACATCAACAGAGACACACACAATGGTGGTGTGATATAAATAGAAGTCTGACTTGAGACATATATACCCATAGTCCTGCTAGAAGTAAATAATCTCATTGTTCTATATTGACAATCTTCGAAATTAAAAGAAATAGATAATAACAGAAAAACTACAAGTGATAATCCTGCCTAATCATGATTGGTTAAAGTATATGACAAGTTCAAGTCTTTTACATATTACGTTGAAACACTGGTTTGCATATGGTCACCTAAGTTAAGCAACATCAAGCCTGGTCAGTACCTAGATGTGTGACCACTTAGGAATACCAGGTGCTGCAAGATTGGATATGTGGGTGGTGTAATTGAAAAGCCAAGTTACAATTCCTATTGGGTTTGTTATATTCATTTATGAGCAAATAACCTTGAGAAAAGCGTGAATCCACCTCTTCTCTCCATAGATATGGGTTAATTAGTAAAACTTGTATCACTACACCATTATTATCTCAAAAAAAAAAAAATCTTACAATCTAAAAATATTTTCTGGCTTTAAATAACCTGCAAATAGTTAAGCTGTAAAAAACAATCACTTAAGTCTACTAACTGTTATAGCTCTTTCTAATACGGATAGAAGTTTCCTTGATTAACTTGAGTTAACTTGATTATATCATTATTCTCCCTTCCAACATGTGTAACCCATTTTTGTTGTACCTGGTTTTGGAACTGTTCCAGTGATGTGATTTTTGCTATTCGGCAAAGAACTTTGTGATTTTGTTAGCACCCATCTATAGAGTCTGATGAAGGATCATCTTTAAATTTACAGGATTTATTCATTTGAAGCCATTTTTATTCATTGATCTAAAACAAATGGTTTTATACAGATGAAAGTTTAGCTATTTCTGAACAAGTTGGATGCCATGCATAATATCAATGTAAGAATTTATATCTGATGAGGCTATTTAAGAATATAACACAAGTTTTCAGGTAAATATTTTGGTTTTATAGCATTTTATAGTGTTGTACAAAAGAGCCACTAGCACAACCTCCCCAGTGTTCAGTTTACTATCTTCTAAACTACTTTATTCTGAATTCCTGCAATTTACTTTCTTTCAAGAATCAAATGATAAAAAGCAACAAAAATAGAAAAAAGTTAAAATATTTGAAATGAAGAAATTTCTTCATCTTGGAATTTAAAAACAATTTAAGAATTTTTGTTCAGTTGAAATTTTATTTTTAGTTTGTTGAAAATTCTGACATTAATTTTTTTTTAAATATTTGTATATATTGACTGTAAATATACACTTTTTTTTTTTTTTTTTTTTTTTTTTTTTGAAAGTATTTTCTTCATTTTAATGGGTTTCCTTTCATTTGTTTTGTTGGTTTTCACCAAAATAGTTCTCAGCCAGGTCATCACCTGAGTTTTTTGAGAGGAAGGCTTGAATTGTGGAGGGGACATGAGTAAGAATTTTCAAACTAAAATTACTTAATATCTTTATGGCAATAGTCGGATGCAAATGGTTTTCAGGTGGCAGCCCCCACTCTCTTGATAATTATTACTTTGTGACTATTTCTATTCTATTATGGTTCCATTACTGTTACTAGTACAAATAAAATAAAAGAAAAAGGACAGTAGTAGACAATTACTAGTGAGAAATATGACTGATTATGACAGCCTTTGTGGCCTAATTGATAAAGCAGCTGCTCTGGATAGACAAACTTCACCGAAAGAAAAGTACAAACTCTTATTCTTTTCAGTTTACACTGCATACTTCCAATACAAGAATGATTATTTGGGAATTGTACTAAAAAGTAACAGAAATAATCACTGCCCAAAGACTTGAATGTGACACCAACAATTTTTGTCAGTTTTAGTAAAAGTTTTTATTGTTTAGAAGTAGAAAACAGTGAATTTTGCCATAATGGGCTTAAATTTGTATTAACAAAATGTTATAAAATAAAATATGGTTATTTCTGAGGTAAAATTTATTTAATGATTGTTTTGCACTAATTAAACCAGCATTTGTTGTAAGCCTCAGTATTGACAAGTTGAATTTTCTTTGCTGATCTTGAGAAAATTGTTTCCAAAGTGATTCTGTTGTTATTTTTTTTTTTTTAATTTCAGTGTACTTTTTCTTTCTTTTTTTTTTTTTGCCTGAGTGCCTTCTTTGGTTTCATAACCAAAAATGTTATTTAAATTTTTATGTTGGTCATATTTCCTCACCTCCCTACTGTTTTTTTTTTTTTTGGGGGGTTGTTTTGGTGGGGGGTTCTTTTTTTGTTTTAAATTCTCTCTATTTTGGAAAATTAGCAGACCCCTATCTTCCAAATTCCCTACCATTGAAGGTTTAAACTATTTATAACAGAATCTTTATATACTTTATTTGGTAGGGTCGAGTACATAACAGTTGCCCCCCTATCAAAAAAAATGGGTCAAAATATTCTCCAGGTTTTCAAGTCAAAGCATCTGATAGGCTAATGTGCATCCAAATGCTCTTGACTACCAGTTCTTGTACCTAGCCTAACTCCATAATACTGTAATATTAAATGTAAATTAAATGGTCAGTCATATATGCCTTCAAATATGTCTTTTTCCATTTGCACTTGAAATCATAGTTCACACACAAGTAATAGCTGGAATCGCAAATGCTGATTGCCTTTCAGAAGATTGGTAAGACACAATATTGCCTCTTGTGTTTGCTCTCAACTTGCCTTGTGCCACACTAAGCTTGGCTTAGTAAACAACCATAATCCTTTCAGAAAGAAAAAAAAATGGATTGAGTTAACACACACACACACACACACACACATACATATACACATATATATATATATATATATCTATATATATATATATATAGTTTTAAGGTGTGCTATATTTATGGAATAAAGTGCTCAATATCAGGGATAGAGCGTATGTAAATATATAAGTGAACATTGAAATCAATAGTCTGTTGCCTTGGAGTATTGACATCAATGTTCACTATATATAGGAGTGGCAAAAAGGTTTGATTGGTTATTAAGTAGAAAATTTACTTAATAAACTAAGCAAACTTTTTGGCTAACTCAATATATATATTATAGATAGATAGATATAGTTAGTATAGACATAAGAATCAACACTGCATGGTGACTGTTTGAAAATAGCATTAAGGAGTAAAACTGACTGTTACAATTCAGTGTTGATTCCTATGTCCACACTGTCTATAACTAATCTGTCTCTGATAATTAATACTCTCCACCTATAAATATATAAAATTTTAAACTTATATATGTGTGTGTGTGAGTGTGTTTAAGCCTTTATTGTGAATATTTTGACTGCTTTTTCTTTCATATTTTAATTAAATGAAAGAAAAACTAGCCTCACAAAATTAATGACAATGCATCATTTAATAAATTTAGATAAGTAAAAGATTTTTGATTTCTTTTTTTTCAAAAAGACTTCATGCACTTGAGAATTTTCCTGAGTGTTTTACTGAAACCAAGTAAAACATTGGTACATGGTTATGTTCTATTTTATTTTTAAACCGAAAAATAAACACACCTCAAATTACTTTTGTGGTTGTTTATATTCTAAGCAAAATGAAAATTAAATGCAACATCATATAGTTTAGAAACCTGAGATTGGACAAGGATGCAAATGATTCATCTTGGTATATTTAATACAGTGTAAATGCTCCACCCCAGTATAAAGCAATGTTTTACCAGCTCGCCTGCCAGACTCTTACTACACACTAACGAATTCACCACACACTGGTCAACAAGCTAGTTTTGCAGAACAATTACTACAGTAGTTAATTTGGTTTTCACTGAGTGCTCAACATTTGTGACCTTATGCCAAATTTTTTAATATATTAAAGTTCACCCAATAAAAAGCTTGTTACTGTCAACAAAAAACTGTGATGCTGATTGCGGTGTGTGACATGAATGGAAGAGAGAGGGGGTAACAAATCAAGATTCTAAGAATAAAATAAAAAGATGACAATTGACCTTTGACCTGGGAAAGTCAAGGTTGATGTTCAGAGAAGTAACTACAGGGGGGATTCTGTTCCATCAAGTGACAGTTCTTGGGTGGGAGTGACTAAGTAAAGCTTTCTTCTTACATTTGAAACATGGAGAAATTAGGATTATTAGACTCCATAGAAGTGGCAAAGCTTGTCGTAGCTGTAAAGGTCTGAACTGTTGAAACTGAAGAATGGAGCACACCTGAACATTTGCTATGGAAATAATGCTAGTGACAGGCTCTTGAGTGTTGCATCTATGGGAGAAAAGGTTGATATTTATTTGGCTTAGCTTAGTAAAGACCAATTTACATTTTGTTATTGTTAGTATTTATTCACACTAGGATTTTTTTCTGGCAGATATTATTAGAAGACAACTGACTACATGGCTTCTTTAAGTTCCAGTATTTTCACTATCTTTTTTTTTTAATTCTTTTGTTGACATACTTTCCATTCTTTTATTGATTTTTTTTTTCTTTTTTCCTTTTTTGTTCAAATCTTTTGCAAGCCTGTTTCATTGCTTCTATGATCATGGGCACAACTGATACACATTATATTTCATAATTTCTTAAGATTTGGAGTGAGATCTTGGTATTTTTTCAATTTTTCTTTCAATATTTTGATTCCAATCTTTGATTTGTAATCATTGATTCAATGGTGTAACCATATTTACAATTTGATAAATGTTTTTATATGTATTATTACTGAAAACATAAACAAATGGTATCATTTCTTAAATGAAATGATCTGTCTGCATCTTGAAATCCTATAGCATTTTATTTGCATTTAATCCAGTTTTTGATAAGGGTAAATTATTGCAATGTTTTTCTCTTTTGCATACTGCATTTGAACTGCTTGTACAGTTACCAGTGTCATCCTGTTCCCACCCAATCATTTGTCTTCACTCTTACTTAGCTTCAGCTACCAACCTTTGAAAATTAGTGATTAACATTGTAAACAGTATTCTATCCCTGAGCCATAAGTACTTTCTGGAAAGATGACTAATATTCTGAAGGTGACATAGATAAATAATAATAAATAGAATAAATATTTCTTGCTTCCATCCTCTTCATTTTATTAAATAAAGGAACTTTGGCAAACATGGAGATTTGCGCTCACAAAAAAAAAATTGAGTGTCAAAGGAATGTTTTTTTCCCATGACACTGCTTTCATTTTAATTAACTTTCTCTCTTTGGCAATGTTTGTTGTTTAAAAAAATGATGATTGAAATGAAAGAAAAACTAGCCACACAAAATTAATAATGACAATGCATCATTTAATAAATTTAGATAAGTAAAAGATTTTTGATTTCTTTTTTTCAAAAAGACTTCACTATTAATTCAC